CAAAAAAAAAAAGGTCCTGTCAACTAATTTCTCAACAGAAACATTGCAGGCCAGAAGGGACTGGCAGGAAATATTCAAAGTGATGAGAAGTAAGGACTTAAACCAAGACTACTCTACCCAGCAAAGCTATCATTTAGAATCAAAGGACAGATAAAGAGCTTCTCAGACAAGAAGAAGATAAAGCTCATTAACGCCAAGTCAGTATTACAAAAAATGTTAAAAGGATTTCTTTAAGAAGAAGAAAAAAAAATCAAAAATAGAAATAATAAAATGGCAATAACTACATATCTGGCAACAATTAGTTTACATGTAAATGAATTAAATGCTCCAATCAAAAGACATGGGATAGATGAATGGAGAAGAAAACAAATCCGATTACAAATGCTGCCTAAAAAGACTCGCTTCAGATGAATAGACACACACAGACTGAAAGTAAAGGGAAGGAAAAAGATAATTCATGAATATGAGGAGGGTGGGCAAGCAGGAGAAACTGGGTTATCAATACTCATATGAGACAAAATAGACTTTAAAACAAAGGCTATAAGAAGAGACAAAGAAGGATCCAGTAATGTCATTTCTGGGTACTTATCCAAGAAACACAAAATAATACTTCAAAGGGACATGTGAATTCATACATTCATTGTAGCATTATTTACGACGGCCATGATAAGGAGGCAACCTAGATGTCCATCAGTGGACAAATGGATAAAGAAGAGACAGTACATATATACAATGGTATTGCTCAGCCATAAAAAATATGAAGTCTTGCCATCTGCAACAACATAGATGGACCTAGAGGGTATTGTGCTGAGTGGAGTAAGTCAGACAGAGAAAGACAAATGTCATATGATTTCATTTATATGTGGAATCTAGAGAACAGGATAAACAAACAAACACAGAAACAAGCTTAAAGATACAGAGAGCATTTTAATGATTGCCGAATTGTGGCGTGGAAGGATGAGTAAAGGGGGAGGAGATTAAGAGATACAAATTGGTAGTTACAAAACAGTCATGGGGATGTAAAGTACAGCATGGGGAAAATAGTAATATTGTAATAACTATGTACGGCATCATATGGGTATTGGATTTACCAGGATGATCACTTCATAAGTTATACAAATGTCTAATCACTGTGTTGTATAATGTGTACCTGAAACTAATATAATATTGTATGTCAACTATAATTGAAAAAAATAAAACTAAACTAAAAAAGTACTTGAAAAGTCTGATAGCATTGCAATGAGGAGCATACAAATTCATAATGGTAGCAGAAGGAAGATCTCTGCAAAATCTCCACATTTAGAAAACAACACATTTCTAAATAACCTATGAGTCAAAGAAGAAAACAAAAAGTAAAAAGTACTACAAGCTGAATGAAAATAAAAATATGAAATATCAAAATTTGTGGGAGGAAGCCAAATCAATGCTTAGAGAAATTTATAGCACTAATCATCTATAGTAGAAATGAAGTCTCAAATCAATGAATTATTCTTCCACTTTAAGAAACAAAGAAAGCTGAAGGGAGGTGGGGAGATGGAGGGGTGGGGGCTGGGATTAGGGGAAGAAGGAAGAGAAGAGCAAAAGGAATCCAAAGTAAGCAGAAAAAAAGAAACAACAACAAAAAAACACCAATAATAAAAATCACCTGGGCTTAGATTTCCCATAAAAAGTGCTACAAGACAATAAAACCGTGTCTATAGAATACTTTGTTTCACAAAATATTATACCAGACATGTTGTCTTTATATATATAAAAGCAACAAGAAGTAAATAAAAACTCAAGAAGAAAGAAGCTCTGAGTCCTTCCTTGGGGTAGAAATGCTTGATGATAAAATGCAGCCAATTAGGGGATAATTAAAATAAACAGTAAAAGAATAAGGGAAATGGAGTAATGTCTATAGAATACTTTGTTTCACAAAATATTATACCAGACATGTTGTTTTTATATATATAAAAGCAACAAGAAGTAAATAAAAACTCAAGAAGAAAGAAGCTCTGAGTCCTTCCTTGGGGTAGAAATGCTTGATGATAAAATGCAGCCAATTAGGGGATAATTAAACAGTAAAAGAATAAGGGAAATGGAGTAAAGTACTTTGTAAGCATTTAAGTCATTTAAATGTAGAATTAAGACTGTAAGAATTATGATTATAGAACAGAATGCAAATGTTTAAACACTGAAAATGTAAAAATAAAATAAAACTTTAACTATGAAAAATCAAGAGGCAGGTTGAAACATTGAGTGCTAATTTTCTCATTTTTCATGGCACTTTGTCTAAAAAAGGAAATACATAGTTTAGAAAAATTAATGTCTCTTGATTTCCTAACCTTGTTCCTAAACCTATCTTAAATATCAGTCTTAAAGGGCTATTGTAAGAAATATTTCTTGTAAGAAAGATATGCCAATCTGATATTAAGGTGAAGAGTACCCAAGATTTTTATTTTCAATAATGTAATTATCTATCACATAACCGGTAATCCCTAATCACCTCCTAACAAGAAATTCGGTTGAAACGTGAAAAACTGAGTTTATATGCCATTAATGAGACACCTACTATAAAGGTTAAAAAAAAAAAGATGCTAACATTTTATTTAAACCAAAAAAGAACGTTGGTATATGCATACTCCATTTGTTTTCTTTTTTTAATTAGGAAAGATGTGAACTCTCCATTGTAAGCTCATTGTGTTATATGACAAAGAAAATGATTAAAGTTTTGAATTTTCTTAATGCTCATGACCATTACTAATTTATGGAATAATGGGAAGGGAAGAAGGATTGCTCAATGTGAGGATTCGGTTTATTTTACATAATGCAGACAGATGTATTAATTTTGGAAACTTATTGAATCAATATACTGAGTTGCTTCCTTAGATCAAGAACTTTTTGGAATTGAAGAGCGCCCAGAATTTCGACTTGTTAAACCTCAGAAGTTTATCATGATGATGTGAGAATATTGCTGACCTTATAGAACCTGAAAGTATAGAGGATTTGATAAAATAAGTATAAATATATCTATTCAACCTAAAATTCTGGTTTGAGCCTATGCTAAGAAAAGACCAGACTGGATACTCTGTGCTCAAAGGGAATTAAAGATTTAAAAGAATTGTAGAATGTCTTTGTGGAAATAACATTACATTTCAGAAGAGATTTCACAGATTTTAATGAAAAAAATTATGCCCTTGTTGTTAGCAAAATAAACATTTGTTGAGCGTTCACCAAGAATAACAGAATCCCAGGTATCCAATATGAGTCTATTTTCAGAACTATTTTAAAATAGCCAAACTCTGAGCAAACTGTAGATTTACGTAGCAATGTAAAAGAGCATTCTTTTTTTTATATAATTGCTGAAATAGCAGCTAAGAGCTAACAGCTATCATCAGAGACATCAACAAGAATCCATTTTGATATTTGTTTCTGGCTGAATATACTACACAAGTTTCAACAAATAATCAAATTTTCTTTATTAATTTGACCAAAACTAATCACTTCACACTTTATACAAAATGGCACTTGTATAGTTAATATTCCTATAAAAATTCCATTCACCCAAAGTTGGCTAGATGTGTTATATGGCACATAATTGTTAAAACTATGAGTTGTTTGCAAGTTGGGTCTATGCTGCTATAAAAATTCCATTCACCCAAATTTGGCTAAATAGGTTACATGTGCATAACTGTTAAAACTATGACTTGTTTCTAAGTTAGTTTATAATTCAGGGTCCAATTACTACTATACATTGAAATACACAGAATTGTAACAGTTAAAAATACTTTTCCATCATAATATATTGTCACCTTTCATAGTCAATATAAATAACATAAATAATGCAAAAATTAAGCCATGTGCTCTTTGAAAATCAGACTTTCAATGTAAGATGGTTTAGAATAGTACAAAAAGCACCACGGTACAAAAACATGCTACCAAGGTATTAACTGAAAAAAAAAAGACCATTTTGAGAAATAAAATAAAATAGAAGATAATTGAGAGGAAAACTTTTAATTTTTGCAATGTTTTCTCACATATGGGCAGAAAGCGTAGGTAACATGTCTTTCCTCTATATAATCCTCTCAATGTAAGCATTTATGACAGTTATAAAAAAGTGTAGGGTTTGCTATACAGAGGAATCAATAACAACCTTGTAAAGCCTACAGCAGTGCACATAAACATGCTGTAGGAGACATTAACACCAGGCTGCAAGAAATAATTATATTTTCAATAAGCATGTTCTTACTAGGTAATCAATTTTTTACACGTCTTAACAGCTATTTCACAGCTCAGGTAGTGAATGGCAGCAGCTGTTATGTCAAAACCATATATTATATGCATATGAGGGGCTTTTGATTTTTTCATAGGTATCTACTTATTTGTGATTAGCCACATTTAACTCATATTAAATAAAAACAAGGTATTCATGGTGTGGTTAATTCAGGAGGATTTTTAGTACAGTCTTATTTTAGAAATAAATTCTTAACCAATTATTTTTATGCCAAAAGATTTAATAATTCAAATTACATGCTGCTCTTATTCCCAGATTTATGAGATTTGTCACGATCAATGTTTCTGAAATATTAAATTAAAAGGTGTCACGGTAATTACTATGGAATAAATAGCAACTAGGATTTTTTAGGCAAATAAGCTCAAATTGTTTACAGTAAATATTTAATACTACTAATATTTTCCCACACAAGTAGCCTAACAATATAAAATATAAATTTGCAGAATTACTTCAAAAGATCTTAAGAAACTGATTTAATACAGAATTTGATACTTGGTTAACAAATTATGCATAATGTATCCAAAAAGAGGTAGATTTGAAAGTAATACAAATTATGTTTCCATAAATGATCATATTTCTCTTCTGTATTTGTAATAGTGAACCTACCATATGCTTTGAGATGTGTAAATAATTTGCAGCATAAAAGACAATTATTTAAAAATTTATATCAGCAAACAACTATAATTTATAAATATACACAAGAAATTTGAATTAGGTAAATACTTACTGCTATATAATAAACTCTTGCTTTTTCTACCAACATCCAGTTTTTCTCCATATCAAGGTGTTTTTCTTTTTTATAACAATTGGCAGCTGCAAGATTAGCTACAAGGGACCTAAAACAACAACAAAAAGCAAGTAGGTTTTTTTTTGCGTAAACAGTTTGTTCCTTTTGCTGCAAACTTGCCAGGTATTTCTATACGGTTAATTAACAAATTTTTCACAAATTTTTTACATTTTTAATTCTTAAAAACTACTGTATATTGATTTTAATAATGTATATAAAATTTTGTTTTGAGAACTTTTGAGACTTCTATGTTGCCTTTGAAATAAAGAGATGTTAATCCTTGTTCTAAATGCCACCCAGTATTTTGAGCAAGTGGCTTTTAAGTTTCCTTTTGATACTTAAATAAGATTATCTACTTTCTACATTTTAATAGTTCAAAATGCAGTTAAGAAATAAAAGCTACAATGCCATCACATAAAAAATATGCAAATAAAAACCAGTTTTTAAGTATCAACATACTATGTATTTATTATTATTACTTGACTTTAATAAAGTCAAGTACAAGATTAATTTTACAAAACATACATATAAATATAGACCATATTTACTATGTGAAATTAATTTACAAAGCATATTTTAATGTGTATATTTTAATAAATTTTATACTTATATATGTCTAATAAATCAAGCTATTGAAGTAAAAAAAATAAAAATTTAAAAAATTTAAAAAAATAAAATCTTGCTACAAGTACCACATAGAGCTTTTTGTTATTGCCTAGTGATTAAACTTAATAAAATAATCATTTACATTATATACAAATTAATAAAAATTTGCCCTCCTCATTCTGACTCAGAAGTTAAAAAACTTGACAATTTTTCATTTTTGTAATCGATGGTAACAGTTATGGTTAAAAAAATCCAAATATATCATCTCATCATTTGAGATTGTGGTACTATGATTGGTTCCTCTGTTAAGAAAAGAATAAATTGATTCTCTTCCAAAACATGATTGGTTCCTCTGTTAAGAAAAGAATAAATTGATTCTCTTCCAAAACATATTTCTACTCATCCACATGCCAGTTGACTACAGAAGATACATCTGTTTATGTTCAATTAAACAAATGAAGAGTAATGTGCATCAATATATGCATATGCCAATAACTATATTCTAAAGTTAAGAATAATTAGTCCTAATTTATAAAAAATATTTTAGTAATCATGACTAGCAAAATTTTGATAAAGTAAAAGCAAACACTTCTGGTACCAGCTACTAAACTCTATTTTAATAATAAAACTACTCTTTGATAGGAAACTACATAGTTTCTAAAAACAAAAACAAAAAAAAAAACCCACAAGTATTCTTACTATCCAAATGTATTTGGGTCAGAATTTAGAGAATGAGAAGATAGATTAAGAATAATATTGCATTATCTAAACTCTTTGATTCCTGAGTTTTGGATAGTGGTACTGAGTTACCAGTCCTCTCTAAAACAATTTATCCAAATCTATTAGGTTCTACAGTTTGGATAATGAATTAGATATAGAGGGTTTCCCCATGTTTCTGATTTCCAGTATCATTTCAACAATATTGATCATCATAACCATAAAATTAGTATATAAATTAAGCTGTTGACATCTAGAGGACCTAATATTATAATAACTGCTCTTTAAAATAGCAATTTAGCATACAAAAATAACCTGTCAATTTTACTCTAGCTTGAGTGATGTCAGAGGTAAAACTTGACCTTTTCTCTCTAATGGGAAAACTTTGCACCTGAATATTAATGTTGGTGTTAGAGAAGCTGAAAAGGGGAAAGGTCTAAATAAGTAAATTTCAAATATGTGTGAACAATGGATGATTTTATTTATTGAAGCCTTAAAATCGTAACATGTTCCTACACCCAAAAAATAAAGTTACAAGACAGGTTTAAAAGGTTTTGGCATTCTAATTATTTTTGAAAGTTGTATTTTAGTTATTTGATGACTACTGCCCAGAGTAGTGTCAAGTCCTTAACATATGTTTGCTGGAAGTCAAAGAGTGAGCAAAAATGAAAGAGGTTAGAAAGGAGAATGGAACAAGGGCGAGAGAAGGGAAGAAATAAAAGAAGAAAATTAGGCAATAAAAAAGGAGGAAATGAAAGGGAGATGGGGAATGGAGGAAGACAAACTAAATATTTCTAGCTGTAATGAATGTAAAATTCCTAGTGAATTACTATTTAAACAAGGCTCATCTTTGGCGATTCTAACAATATAACGGCTAGAAAAGTTAGGTTGTTTTTTTCCCTTGCAAAGGAGGAAAAAGCCTATGCTGATGAGCAATATGGTAATAATGCTGTTAGCAATGTATGAAGGTGCTGAAGAAGAAATTCATGTAGCTGCAAAAGGCACAAATACAACCAATCAATGCATTGAGGGCCCTGAGAGATATAGTCAAAGTTCATATAAAGAAGAATTTTTAAAAAGTAAAACTATGTAAAAATGTAATGGGTTGTTCCTTGATTGGTGCATTACCCATGACTGAAGTTGTTTCATATGGATGAATGACTATTTGCCAGAAATGCTTTAGATGACTTAATTCCTATGAGACTGGATATAATGTAATATTTTATATATATATTACAAAATACATATATTCCAATCTCAGGATACAATGAAAAGAGTATTTCTTTCTAATCCCAGTTCGGAAGAAACTAGCTATAAGACACTGAATAAAATGTTTTCCTTTTCTGACCCTAATTATAAAAAGAGAGACTAGATCAGATAATCTCAAAATTATCATTCCATTATGCCTGATGCAGACAACAGGTTCAACAAAGGCCATTAAAAAAAAAGGAAAAAAGATAAAAGGAAGAAGAGTTTTTTAAATATTAAAAGCAGTTATAAACGTAAGATCTAAATCCAAAATTCATATTGGATTCAGATTTTACCACTGTTTAAACAGCCAATTAGTACAGGCTTCCCCGGAATTACACTGACCTGTTGTCACCAGTGATGCATGCGGCACAAGTTCCTGTTGGTTGCTCATTCTGCTCATAGTAATGAGCATCCACATGGGCTTCGGCAGCTTTTTTCTTCAGGATCTCCCCAAATTTATCTATCCCAATGCATCCAAAAAATGTTGCTGCTTTGTGTGGCCGCTGAATCATCCACTTTAAAACAGAAACATAAATAATTTTAGTAGGTCAGAAAAATGGTACACATAGTTCAGTATTCTGCCATAGACAGAGGCATACAAGGGATACTTTGTTAGAAGCTGTGGCTGTTATGAATGGAATTCTAATCCTGTACTACTACTTATGATAACAAATTTCCTATAACAACCACATAAAACCTTATTATACTATTTTTGGGGAAAGAAATAGAGCATAGTAGTTAAGAACTCAGAATTTCAAGTCAAATAGACCTTAGGTCAATGCTGGCTTGATACAGAAAAAATAATAGTGAGTCTCAATAGAAGTACCGTAGCAATGTCATTAAAAGCCAAGAATCTATACTGAAGACTGTCTGGGTTCCAATCTTGCCTCTGCCACTTATTTGCTGTATGAGAAAGAATATGTTACTTAACATTTCTATGCCTCATTTACTTCATCTGTAAATAAATACACCTCATAAGGTTATTGAGGATTAAATAATTTAAGTTAATTTAAATGTATTAATGAGCCTACTACCCTGCACATAGTAAATGATATATATTAGCTATAGTTGTCACTATTATTGTCATACTTGTGGTAATTCGTATATAAACCAAGCTAAAGTATGTTCATGTGTAATAAGTTATTTTTTAAAATTCAGAAAGTGTTAAAAATTCTAATTCTAGCATCTTATCTTTTCATTAGTCTTATAAACTTTAATTCCTTTGCTATATAGTGAATTTTTTAAATGCATACTTTTCACTGATGTGAAATGTTATCTTTCATAATTAGCTCAAATTGTTAAGGTTTCTAATTAGCTATTCTAAAGCCACCATTTATTCTGTTTCTAATATCTAGAGTTAAAATAATATTCAATATATACAAAGTCAAAATACATCAAAATCTTATCACATTCTCAAATATTTGTTGTATAAAAAAATTCATGTATATTTGTGAGTTAAAGGAATGATGAGAGAAACAAAAGGTAGCACAGAGAAAACTGTAAGTTTAATATTCAATAACTATATGATGATGTAGCAATCCTACTCCCAGGGATTTATCTTGAAGATACGTGTTTACAAATATAAAACAACATATGGATAGGTATTCTTTGAGACATTACTTATGAGGCCAAAATGTTGGAAACAACCTAAATATCCATCCATACAAGACTATTGAATAAACTATGCTAAAGCCATTCAACGGAATACCACAAAGCAATTTAAAAAAAAAAAAAAAAGAAGAAAAAAGAACAAGGAAAAGCTGTATGGAATAATTCACTAACCTGCAGTAATTGCCAGGATATTTTGAGAAGTTGAAAAAAAAAAAAAAAAAGAGCAGGGTTCAAAAGTGTGTATGTGTATGCTTTAAGAAAATAAAGTATCTTCATAGGTTTTTGTGGGACCATGAATTGTTACAATCTATATTAGGAACGAATTGCTCATATTTAGAAAAATGTAATTGGTATCTTCTGACAGAAATCCCACTATCTGTGAATTTATCCTATATTGCACTTGTGTGCAAATGTGTGTTATTTAAGAATATTAATTGCCACCTCATGAGAGCAAAAGATTATAAACTGAATGGTGATCAATTTAGACTCATTACCTCAAAGATCTATCTAGTCAACCTATACCAAGGAATACTATGTGCTTTAAGGATATGATCGCAAAAAAATTAGTGCCGACAGCACTGTAGTGTATGCTACCATTACTGTAAAGTAATTATAGTAATAATGATTACTATATAAAAAGTGTATGCTTGTATATGAATAAAATATCAGTGAAAGTGTAAAAAAAGAACATACATCATTTTAGTATATACACATATTCTTTTAGAATTTATATACAGTTTTAAATCTGTTTAATTTGTTTAAAAAATACAGAAAGAATAAACCAGAAACTAAAGAAAATGGTTTTCTATGAAAGTGGGTGGTAGGGTACGGAAAAAAGGAGTAGGGATAGAAGAAAGACTTCTCTGAATATAATACTTCACATAAAATTGACTTTTGAAACATTAAAAGTTTACATTTTTGAAAATGATATTCAATTTAAATTTCAATTTCGATTAGAAAAAAATGATAAGGTTGAATTCAATAAAATAAACGAGTTAAATACCACATAATCACATAGAAAAATACAAATAACTTTTTAAAATACTTTAACTTTTCAACATACTAATATAAGGAAAAACAAAAAACAAAAAATCTTAAACTTTAATAGTAAGTATAATGTTGGTAATGCTATTGGTAAAACTATTTGGCATGTATTGTAGGATAGAGCAAATGAATGTAAAGTTGATGCCGTTGGGAAGCAAACCTGCCCTGTAGAAGGGCAATGTAAATATGGAATGGGGCAAGAGAAGAAGGTTCCAAGCAAGAAATCTGAGAGACAGCATATTAAACAAATAATTTAACTTAGCATCATCAATAAAGCAAGAAACTAACATTATATACCTCTTGCTGTGATGCAATGAAAAATATACAGTATCATTTATGTAGCATTTGTGCCAAAAATGTTTAACCTGAATCTAATCATGAGGACACAATCAGGTAAATCCAGATTATGGCACATTTTATAAGCAACTGGCTTGGACTCTTAAAAGAAGGAAATGCCCAGAAAGACATCATCTGTCCTCTAAAAAAGGTGGGAGAAAGGACTGTTACAGATCAAAGTAAATTAAAGAAATATGACAAATACATGCAATTTGTAATCCTTACTGAGTCCTTAATTGAGAATTAACTCAAACAGCTATAAAAGATACTATTAGATTAACTGCCGAAATTGTAATACTACCTATTACATATCAGAAAATAGTATTGTAGCAATTCTAACAGGAGGTAAATAATTCAAAATGGTTTAGGGATCTACATAAATGTGTGTGTGTATGTATATGTATATATAAAGAAAAAGAAAGCAAATGTGCTTAAATTTTAACAATTGGTAGATTCATGTGAAGGATATAAAGAAATTCATTTTACTATTCTTTCTACTTTTCTTTAAGTTAGAAAATTTTCAAAATTAAAGAGTACACCAATAATATTGCAACTAAATCAATCATTCTGTTTAAAGAATAACAATATTTTAAATGAATTTATTCAGTCTTTAATATTATCAATCCATTTATTAAATAAGTAAATCACATGAAGCAGGCAAGATCTTGAAATGCATCTATATCAATGCCTAATAGATTTTAAATACTTTAAACCAGACTTAGGGAAAGTACAAATTCAAAAGTCAAGAATATGTGTTATTCTATACATTACTTTTATTCATGTAGAAAGCATGGTTAAATGATCGACCATGTCTGTTTTATGTAGTAAAATACAAAATCATCAACAACAAATTTCACTATGATTTTTAAAATAACAATATGCCATCAAACTAATAGGAAACTTCATTCAGTAAAAATGAAGTCATAATGTAATTCAGCCTAATTATAACAAAAATTGACATGTTCAAACTATAGTCTGAAAAAGGGACTATATCAACTCACTACCAGGCTTAAATCTGATTTATAACACTTCTACAATCAGGATTTAAATGAAGTAAAATGCTTCCCATTATAAATCAATATTACTTAAACCTGTAACACAAAAATGGACAAACAATAGAAATATTCAGGTTTCATTATATATAATTCCACTATTAAATATTTCATCATAGGAAACTAACTTTCTGGCTATTTCTGATATCAGCACATCAGGACACTGCCAAAATGTGAGAACTTTACTCTTGATCAGTGATTTCCACTCAAAAGTTAGTCTGCATAAATGAGAGTTTTTAGTAAGCCAAAGTAGACACACAAAAGAAATAGAAGCCATGTTCACTTCTTCAAAGAATTTAATAACCTAGTAAGTAAAGATGTTATAACCAAGAACGTTGAAATAGATTAAAAATATCAATTTTTTAAGTTTATATATTAATGTGCTAAGAGTTCTGTTAAAATTTTAGTACATCTCTAACGTTAATCTTGAACACAATGTGTTATCAACATCTAACAAATCTATTTCCTACCATTCTGACATCCAGTTAATAGACATTTAATGCATGTCCACTAGATGATAAAAAGATGAAATTGACAGTGGCCCTAAATACAAAGTCACAACCATAACATTTTCAGATTTTCCATTGCCCCAGTCCCTCTTTTATATATGAAGAGTACATCCTTAAACATCTATCTTTAACTTCTACTCTAGTCCTAAGGGAGTAGCAGGGTACAGAATTGCCCCTGTGCTGTGAATAACTAGAAAACAAAACCAAAAGGAAACAACTACAGAATTTTCAGACACTGGACATCAGGCAGGGCAGGACTGTGATCTCTGATAGAAAAGAAAACAAGGTGAACCCTGACATCATGCAGGCTTTCTGCCAGGAGGCAATTTCCAGACTATGATGCAGAGAGGAAGAAGCCAAACAGACCCTGGCATTCTCTCTGAAATGGGGAAACAGAGATGAACCAAAATCCATATACAGTAATTCTTGAAGCTTTGGCTAGATACCAATCTCTGCATGTTTAAAGAATATATGAGATCATAAGGAATCCACATAAATGCTCTAGGAATAAAAAGTGAGTTTATCAGGGTCTCAGGATTCAAGATCAACACATACAAATCTAATGTAATTCTACATATTATCAAGAATGGTCGAAAATTAAAATTAAGAAAATCATGTCACTTACAATAGTATGGAAAAATAAAACATATCCGGACATATTTAAGAAAACATGTAAAACCTATCCACAGAACACTACAGAAGTCTGTTGAGGAAAAATAACCTATATAAATGGAGAGCTATACTATCTGCGTGGGTTAGAAAATTCAATATTCTTAAGACAGCAATTCTCCCCAAATTGATTCATAGGTTTACTGCAACTCCCATAGAAATCTCAATAGGATTTCTAAAAGTTGATCCTATAATCAACAGTAAAAGGAAAACGAACTAGACTAGCCAAAGGTTAGGAGGTATGTCAGTGTTATGGAAACCAACATTGCTAAACCCCAATTCCTTCAAATATAT